ACCGCTCGCGTAAGCTATAGGGATGCTACCCAGTGGCCGTACACTGAGAACAGCCAAGCCGCCGCCAGTGTTTTGTTGCGAGGAGGTAACGCTTCGGAGGTCACTGTGGAGGAAGACATGAGTCCCCGTAAGAGACAACGTCCGCCAGGCCATCCTGTGCCGGTAATCGACATCTCTTCCGGTGATCACGTGGAGGAGGCGTGAAGTGTCACAATGCGTCTCCGAGGATTTAGATTATACCCGGCTGGCCGGTACCGACAATGGATTTAAAAAGGGGGAATTTTTGAAGGGAAAAATCACTAACACTATGAGCCACAAGGGAACGTCCGACTCCGACCTCGCAGATAGCTCGACTCGTCTCCTGACGGACCAAAACCCCGATTCCGAGCCCACTCCACGCAGTGAGGTGGGTGACGAATCAACAGTTTCTGTTAAGACAAGTCGTCCCTCTTTGGGTCGAATGTAATCCTCTTCTGGGCCTTGAAAAATGAGTGACTCGAAATTGTGAACCCTTCCTCAGTCCCCAACGGCATGGGTGGGCCTCATGTCAAACCCATCGGATGGGGCACTCGGAAAGTTTGTCGGCAGATTCATCATAACTTGGAGAGTCATCAAAGTTGTGATGTCAGCAGGGGACACCACGCATCAAATCTCATAGCAAAATCAGCTGTACTTTTTCCCGGTTTGGAGATGCGTACGTTCAAGAGTGAAGTGAGTGGCGTACCGGGAAGTGAGTTGTTGTCTGTGCTGATCCGTCCGAACGGCAGCCAGACGAAGTTGGACAATTGTGTGGCACAGGTGGTTACGATGCGCACGGGCAGCGCTGGTGGTGAGGTGACGGCTTTGGTGTTGGCGCCCAAGACGGCGTTTGAAACAGAGCTGGAGACGGTCGGCGAGCGAACGCTGTTGACGTTGGAAACGACGACGGTGGAGGGCGAAAACTACGACTGGTTCGAGCAGTGGGACCGGATGATGGTGTGGCGTCCAAAGGAGGGGCCTCCGAGAGACGCTCACGCGGAGGCGGAGCTGCTGGCCGCGCTGCGGCGTCAGCTGCAGCGCACGGGACCGCGGAACAAGCCCGAGGCGGTTGACGCGTTGTGTCGCGATGTCTTTGGGGAACACCTGCGCGACCTGCACGCCATCCTGGACGGGAGTGGTGAGATGCAGGATGAGGTGAACGACGTCACCGTGGATGTGGCACGGCCGATAGACCCGTCGGAGTTGGCGGAGCTGTTGGCGGGGGTGCCCAAGGACTGGATGCCGGTGCTGCAAAGGTCCGCGGGGTGGACAACTGCAGAGTGGAAGACTGCGGGTTGGACCGACGGCGGAGACCTGGAGGCTGCACAGGCGAGGGCCGAACGCAAAACGAAGCGTCGTTGGTGCATGGCCGTGGGGGCAGGCGCCACGGTCTTATTTCTCGGAAACCTCCTTTTGCAATCCTCGAAGTTGGCGCAGAGAGGGGCGACAGAAGAACACCCCTCGTTGCCGGGGATGTCCGCAGAGTTGGGCGACAAGAGGGTGGTCTGGGCGGGCCGCAACCCCGCCCCGGTGACGACCTGCGGCAGCGGCATCCTGCTCTGCAGTGAGCGGTGCAGCTACTTGACCTTCGGACTGTGGCCAGTCGCCTTCGGCGAACCCTGGCCGGTCACTTTCCCTCTCGCCTGGAGCATCGCCGAGGCCACAGGAAATCAGTGCGGAATCACCTGCAATACGGCCAAGGAAACAGAGACAGCTTTGCACACACGACTCATAGCACACTTCCCGCTGCAAACTTCTTTCAACACCACCATGTCGCACGAGCAGCACGGCGCAGAGATCCTCAAGGCACTCAGCAATCGCCGCTGCTCCGGTCGAAACATGTCGTGGCAAAAGGCAAGCAAGGATAACGGCTGCGGCATCTGCGACGTAGCCTTCGCTAGTTGCCAAGTGGTTCCTAAAAAAATACAGAAAGCTCACAAGGTGACACTTGTCGACATTAATTCACCCATATTCAGGGTAACCGGTTCCTTCGCCGACTACCCGAAAGACGCCTACGACGTCAGTTCCTGCGATTACGACTGTTGGAACTTGAGTCCAGAGGCCAGAAAGACCGTGATCGCAAACAAGTTCGCAGAAGCCGCCTACCAGAAGGAGAAGTCGCTTACGACGACCACCACCAAGCCTACCACTACAAAGCCACCCTCCGATCCCGAGCGTACCACCGAGAGATTGTACGGGGGGGATGAGATTGAGCACCTTTTTCCTCGTATCGGTTGAAAGTGTATGGCGGAGTATGTATGGGTCACGTGTCAGCTTCGTAAATAAGTGCTTCGCGGGATGGCGTGTACAGCTTCGTCAATAAGTACTTCTTCATCCGGGGGCAATCTCTTCAACAACACATTGTATTGTATGAGGCTGCTGAAGGTAGGTGAGCAACTGGCACGGAAACACCCGCTTTGGCACGCGACCGCTTTTTTACTGCGCAAAAGAATACTTACTTACAGATCGATGTGGTGCGCTGGTGTCTGTAGAGCAAGGACACAGCGACCAACATTAATAAGAAAGAAGAAGGGTTCAAGATGGGTGGGCACTAGCTGGGCGGTAAGGAGTGCTCTCGTTAGCAGCGCGGGGACGTAGTAGTGCGAGTAGGGCGTAAACAGCGGTGGAGGCGACGACGCCGTAGTACACGACCTTCGCCAAAGCTCGGAGTGCAACGTACCGACGTTTAACACATCAGGGACCAACAGGCCGAGGAGGGATAACAACAACAACAGGACGCCAGGATTTCTCGTACCGCTTGCCACAGGACTCCCTCTGTGTAGTATTCGCTTACTACTTTTTTTCCAAAAAAAAGGAACGTGTTGGTCGGATGTTATGTCGTCGGGAGTTAGAAAGGTGTGCGGGCTTCACATGATTTCTACCGGTTTGCCTCACCAGCTTCTCCGCCTAGATCGGGTGAAGGCTCCATAAACAATCTTGCTTGTGGTCGATGTAACTGTTGCATAAAGCGTTCGGTGGTTGGATCTTCTTTACTTGGTCGCGAGTGACTTCCTTAGAACTCCAGTCGAGGAGACTATGTGCGGTAATACGGAAACCGTTAGGGGACACGGGTAACACGATGCGGTAGGTACCATTTTGGGACGATCTTCTCAGAGCTATCCGTCGTGACTGCATGTCGGTAGACTTCTTTAGGATTCAGTGCTACTAGGACTAGGTCGTTCAGTTCGACTTTGTTCTCCCATTCCAGTCCCTGGTTACACGAATAGTCGTACAGCGCAGTTAAGTTGTCGATTATTGCCAGTTTCAAGAACATGGCCAGTGAACTCACGGGCGTTCCAATGACACAATGCCGAAATTGATGGCTTGCCTCTCGCACACCTTCTCCCCTACCGAACGCAATTGGAGTACCACGGAACGCGAGTGCTACGCCATGGTGTGGCCTCTCGAAAAGCTGCATAACATCATCAAGGGAAGCGAAGTGGTGGTTTTCATCACGATCAGACCATACCATTGACACGATAGCCGTACCAGCATTTATCGCTGTACCTCCACCCATCTCGGCGGAGGATCTGCGCTCAGAACCGCCCGCTTCCGAAGATATTCCATTCCTGACCGAGACGCCCAATGGCTGGGTACACACATGGTGACGTGCTCGATATATTCCTCCTACACGGTTCTCCGCACTCCGGCCACGCCGGACTAAATCGCTGCCTGAGGTTGGCAAGACGGGTAGTTTGGTGGAAAGGACTAGCAAAGGACCTCAAAAGACACGTCCAGGAGTGCTTACCTTACACAGCCGATACACCACCCGGAACTTGCACCGACCGGTTTTATCCGTGGATCACATTGTAATGTCCAAGAGTGGCGACGGACGAATCCTGGTAGTGATAGATCACGCCACGCGATTTATGATGGCTACCTTTGCCGCAGGGGGTACTTGTGCCGGTGTCGCAGAATTCCTTTTGACACGCTGGGTCCCGACACGTTGGGTTCCCGACACTTGGGTTCCCACGCCCATAATAGCACTCCGCACGAAGGTTTGGGCTGATTTGCTGCTTGACGGGAATGGAGCCACGAATGATTGGATGGCAACAACTTGAGACGGAGAACGAGAACCAACGACGAGCTAACCAAGTTTTGGGTTTGCAATGTCCCTTGCGGCAGTTGAACAATTCCATGATTCGGGATCAGTGGAGCGGCGGCCAAAGGTGGGAGAAGTTGTGACCTTTCCACTGGATGAAATTGAGGCTCGTGCCTACCGACACCTATCCGGGCTCACCACGATTCGACCAAAGAACGCCATTCCACAACGGATCGTGGGGATCGCGCACGCCACGGCTACGCTTAGTCCGGTGTGGTACGATGGGAAACCAATCTCTCGACCGATATCCACCTTGAGATCTTTGGGCTCTTCCATTCCGGAAGAGCATCGAGCGACTTGGGAACTGCTCTACAGCTACGACCGTAAGCGCAGGACCCGGTCATTGACTCGTGGACAAGGGGGTGATGGTGAGGTATTCGAATAAGAAGTGTCCCCGAGTC